ACACGACAAAAAAAACACGTACCGACGCTGATACGGGAGCGCTTAGCCTAGCGCCATTCGCCCGGTACCTGCGTTCCCCCCGTCAATTACCTTGTTGGGCTTCAAATGATTATGTTTCGTTCATCCAGACGAAAATAAGTTTTCAAAAGTGGTGTGGCGAGGTCCATAATTTGCAACTGCTATTTTGAGTTTAAAAGCATCCTTATCATTTTTTATTTTTATTTTTTTTTGTTCCAATTATTTTTCCCATTATATGCCGGGAACTTTGCGGGAAGTGGGTCCGTCCCTCACATATAACCGCAATCATACAGGGCTGAATAGCTGCTGGTTTGAATTTCCTTTAAATTGTGCTTGCTTGTTGTTGGCTACTCAGTACCGGAGATTGTTGGAAACTTTGGTTTGGGTTATGAGGAGACTTAGGGGCTCGTTCGACACTCCTCAGGGCCCGAAATCCCCCAAGGAAATCGTCGTTCCACTTGTCCTCGGGGGAAAAAAATTAAAAAAAACGTGACTGGGATTCCTCGGGATTTCCTCGGGGATTCCTTGGGCTACAGGCAATTTTCATTTTTCCCCAAGGAATCTCCTGTAGGATCCTTGGAGCTCCCCCATGTGGAAGAACGGGGTCTTCGACGACACCTCAATCGACTTCTTTTGTCGACGGCGTCTGGTCCATCGGTGGTCCGGGCGACTTGCGCACGGACATGTTTGGTCGCCAACGTTCAAGCGGCCCGATGTCCACGCCAATGGTAACCGTTTGCGGGCCGGTAGCATCCCCAAGGTGCACACGGCGGTGCACCTTGGGGTTGGGGTTCAGCCAAAGCGGGAAACCGCCCAACGGTCGGCAAATGCGAATATTTGAGGCGGCACAGCGCATCCACAACACGACGGCTTCAGTTTGTCGCCAAGCGCGTATCGCCGTCTGCATATATCTTGATGTTATGTTGTCGCCCATGTTGTCTTCCGTCTAGTGCCGTTGTCGGCGTCCAGTTAATGGCTGACGTCTTTCGCAAGCTGCCGCTACTGCTTCTCATCGTCTTGTTGCTGGTCGTCGTCGTAGTGTTTCACGTGTGTTTCCTCGGGAACGCGCCGCGACGTCGACGTAGACGAACTTTGCCGATGAAGCGGTCAGGACGGATACACGACAGGGATCCCCCAGGTAGTGAGTAGGCGTGCCGTTGGAAGTTCTTCTTCGGTTTGTAGGTTGTCGCTGGGGGTCGGCAATTCTGCATTGCCCCCGCATTTGTAACCCCTCCTAGACTCATCTGATGAGGAGTAGAGGGAGGGACGGGCATGCACTGTTCCGTTGGGTAGTGGATCTACGCAAGAATGGGCTTGGACGGAGCTGTGCGGTGGCAGTGCCGGCGTGCACGAGCAGTCCTTCACTGAACTGCTGCAGCCGGGTCTCGACGGGGAAGAACGACACAGCGGAGTGAACCTCTCTTCCGATTTGTCTACACGGAGGTGTGGAAGTCAGACGCGCACAGTGATCGCCAATCCCCATCCCGATGACGACGGCGGGCAGTTAACCGCTGTGGACCGATCATTGAAATCCACCGTGGCGCAGCAATGGCAGCGACGATCGACTTCCATCTCCAGGAGCACGCAGGGTCGCCCACATTTCATGTAGTCACCGTCTCCCATGTCTGTTGCGTCCAACCTGGGACATCGACGTGGCATTGTTGCGGAGGGGGGGTGCAACTTGGACGACGTCGGTGACGACCACGAGGGGGGACGCAAATTCATGTCGACCACAACCTGCGCCTGCACAGGGAATCGCCTCGTCCGATCACAGTAGTCCTCCCCGTTTGCATTGGCCGGTTTGTCGACGTAGATGTGGGTGCAGTCGATGCACGCATGGCAATTTGGAAAGCCCTTGTCTGCAAACGCGCGCAACACGACCGCCTTCTGCAAGCCAGTGGGCCACGAAATCTTGTCCGGGTACGCAGCAAGCAAGGCGGCGGTAACGTGTCGCACTGCTGTGATGCCAGAAGCCCTCCCGATGCCGAAGCTGCACGTTCCGTTGTTGTATGTCTCACCCGACGCCCACCTATAAAGAACGTACGCCACGATGTGGTCAGGCTGCAAAGGCACCCTGTAAAACGTCACACGCCGTTGCAGGTATGGAGAAAGCGTTTCGGCGATTTCGTGGAAGACACGTGGCGACATTCAGAGCTTGTCTCTGAAGTACTCGTCGGTGGCGTCGTCGCATTGCCGCAGGTCCTCCCAGGTGCCTCCCGTCCGCCGCTTCATCCACCAACGTGGAGTCGCCCTCGGGAATGCGCCGCTCCCCATGGCGTAGCACACATGGAGGACGGTGTCGGAAACTGCACCCAAGTCCAAGCCTTCACCGCCGCTTGGCAGCGCCGTCACCTTCCGTTGCGCACGAGCAGCTGCTTTCATCTTCCCCATGGTTTTCTCCACTTCGCAACGATAGAGAGCGACATTGACGGCCGCAGCGATAGCCGTCCTCTCATCTGTCAACAATGCACCAACCCGGACACCGCCGTCAATAACCATCCCTGACGCCTCTCCCATCCACGACAGCGAACCGACGACAACCGCCAAAACTCCACACACACAGCCACGTGGAACGACGATATCCCACGTCGCTAAAAAAATGTGGACGCCACCAATGCCGACGGCGACAAGCTACGACGATGACAACCTTAAACGCCGACAACGTATGGTCGCACACGGGAAGGCATGCGCATACTCTACAATTGAAGGCGCTCAAACGGGTGTGTCATATGGACACGCCCACGGCCGCCACCCCCCCGCGCCCTAACCCGCACGGCTGACGTCCGTCGCCGGCCTCCACTCGCATGCACAAATTTCGAATTTTCAAATTTTGAATTCCTCCTTGGCGCGCCTTCTCGAAGCCCCTAATTCTTTTTCCTGAACGACGTCATTTCTTGCATGGCGGCCCAAAAAGTTGGACCACACCAATCCAGACGGACACAATTGAAGGCAGGCCGTGGTACACACATCCCGCGGCCGGTAATACATATATAAATCTGGCCGCGGGAGCCCCGAGGAATCGTCCTCGGGGGCCGACTCCGACGATGAGTGGAACGAAGGCGTCGAAATCCCCCAACGACTCCGAGGAATCATCCTTTGGGCCCGAGGAGGCCCTGAGGAGTGTCGAACGAGCCCCTTAATTGGGACATATTAGGGCATATTTCAAACAAGGAAACAGTGACACACAGTCACACACTTGAGCCAAATAATATACTTAAAAAATGGTAATCATTTTCTTTTTCGCGCTAAAAACATTTCTTAAAATATACAAAGAAAGACAAAGGATGTCACACATCTTAAACCACCAGTACTTCGCCCATCTATGGAAGCCGGGCCTCCCAGGCCCCTGCACGCCGTCAGTCTTTTTTGTTTTGTTTTTGGCTGTGGCCTCCAGCCAACGCGGTCGCCCGGCGCGTTAACGGGGAAGCACCGCGGGCTATAGCTGGGCCAAGTACTGGTGGTTTAATAAACTTGGCTAGTGGGTTGAGGCCCCTGGGTGTTATTTCAGCATTGAAAAGGAAAAAAACACCGTATGTTTCTGGTTGTAACCACTGTGACACATGTAGTTCCTGTGAGGGACAAATGTCAGGGCCGCTACTCTGTCCTTCTCGATATCGATGATGTGGGCTTCGTGGTGGCTGGGTCCCCATCTGGAAGAGTGACTCGGGAAGAAATCTTTGATAACTTCGAAGCCTGCTATCTTGAGAACCTCACCTTGAAACGTACTGATAACGGGTCGGGAGTTTGGAAATTCCTGGGTTGCGAGATTAGCGTGAGCAAAGACCCTCCCTTCCTCCAATCAGTTCAGCTATCGAAGAACGAAGCCACGGTTTGGCAGATCGAAAAGCTGACTATACAGAATGGGCAGTCTTTCTTTTCTTGGTGCAGTAAAAGCTAGAAAAGTGCTGTTGTGGCCAGCTACCTGCACAAGATTGATCAGAATACCACGGATCGATCAAGGATCCCCGCGCAGGTGATTACCTTGAAACGTGAGTTCCGTATGAAAGATGTTCCTGAATGTTTTTTTCTCAGGGTGTATAAAAGGTTTGCGCACGACCGCGGTGAGCCGTGGGATTGGATTTCCCGTTTCTTAAGGATGTCTGCTATGTAGCTAGGGTGTTTTCGGTAGTTGATTCCTGAGTTTTTTTATTTTTGGAACCGGGCTGACGTTTTGCTAGTTAGCCAGGGTGTTTTTTGAGGAGTTGTTTTTTGAGGAGTCTTTTTGGCTTGGACATCTGTTTCTGTCGTTAGGCCTTCTGAAGTTTTGGAAGGGTTGGTATTTCGCGGCTATAAGGCCGGTCGCTACTTAGAGGGTTTTTCGATAGTCGATCCGTAGTCCTTTTGGCTTGGGCCTCGTTTTTTAGTTTTTTGGATCATCGAGTTGTAGAGTGGTCGGACTAAGTCCTTGGCTCGGCCTATGCCTGGGTCTGCGTTTCCAAGGCCGATTATACGACAATATTGGCTGGGGCCGAAATGGGTCCGACTGGCGACCTGATTCAGCCGCCTGATGTTTTTGTCCTTCAAGCCCACTAATGTTCTAGTGAATTTTGTAGTGTTTTTACTGAATAGGTCTGTGTTTGCTAGAAGTAGATGTATAAATAGCATGATTGTGTTGTGTTTATCCTCTTTGACCGTGTCTTGAACCGGTCCGGTATGTGGAGTGACGGAGGATCATTGGGCGTGTTGGAAATGTTGGTGGTGGATTTTCAATTCAATCATTGCGTTGACTATCTCCGACTGCATGAAGTTTGTCTTCTTTGCATCGTGTGATTTGTCTTTAACTTGTATTCATACCTGTTGAAGCTCGTGCGAACCTGCCTGGAGACTAGAGCCGAGAGTGAGTGAGCACATTGGAATACTGTCGACACTTTTCTGTTTATGAAAGGGAAGCACCACTCCCTTAGTTGGCAATCGGGGGTGGTAGCAACCGATCTGATTGGCGTGGTCGTGATGATAACCGGCGTGGGCGAAGTTCAGTGGGATCCGGACGAGAGCGACGTTCGGGGAGCCGCGAGCTGCGCTCGAATAGCCGACACCGACCAATAGAGCATAACGAAGCTTCAGGTGGTTCTCCACCACGAAGGCCTCCGCCTGTTTGCTACGGATGTAAAGTGGTGGGACACTATCGCAGTGATTGCTGGCGCTTCTGGTCGGACGCGGAAACCAGAAGGCAAATGGAGAACGATGGGCACATTTGCCCTCCTGAGTTCGATTGGTGTAAGCGCGTAGCCTCGCCAGGAAGGACGAACTCATCCGATGCCTTGACTGCGCGGCTGGACGAACTCGGCCAAAGTGTGGCCTCATTGAGCGAGTTTGTTGGAGTTGAGCTGGCACGGAGGAATGAGAAAGAGAAGAAGAAGCGTGAGAAGGAAGAACGACGACGTTTAGAAGAGGAAGAGCAGGAGCGTGAGGCTGAACGTATTGAGAAAGCCGCTGCAGAAGCACGGAAGAAGGAGGAGGAGCAATTAGCAATGGCGAAGGCGAAGGCTGTGGAAATTCAGCTGGCCTTACGAATCGGCAGTATCCGGGATGAGATTCGGAGTGAGATCAGGCGGGCGATTAGCGAGGGTAAAGCCGTAGTTACGGAAGATACACCGTCTACGTCGGGCACTGCAACGACCAGCGAGGAGGAGGTTGCCGCGATTACCGAAGGCGCCGAGAAGTTGTCTATCGTGGAGAAAAGGAAGAGGGGCGAAGATGTTTCTGTTGCCGACAGTCCACCAGTGACTACTCCCGCTAAACGCACTAGCAAGCGGCCTGGAGTGCGACCCATAAGACTCTCTGATCGTCTCCAACGGGCTCGCGCAAAGATCTCTCGGAAGAATGTACGTACTCCGGTCAAAGCGCTTACTGCGGTCAAGCGGCCACCTGATATGGCCATGGAACGACTGTCCTTTCTGGACCTCACCTGTCGTGAGTTGAGTCAAATGGACTACGAGAAGGTTCGTAGAATCTGTCGGATCGAAGGCGTTCCTTACACCACCAAGATGCAAGCCATCTTCGACTTGGCGGAATGGCAGGCTACGCTACGCTTCGGTAAGGAGGAAGAGCAAAGCACCGCATTGGTAAACATTGAGGATGGCGAAGAAGGTAGCTCGAGTGAGGGTGTCGATGAGACCACCAAGGAGTGAAGTCACCTCACCATTGAGCAATGGTGTGCGGTCGCTGACGTACTCTTTTCCGCTCGTGCCTCGTCGAGGAATTTCGATCCTGATGTTGAATCTCTGTTACGATGGCTGATAGTCCTGCTTGCTTTGCATGGGTTTTGTCGCTGGTTGGGTAAATGTATTGACTCGGGGCTGAATCTTTTTCGACGTTTCGGCGTCGACTTTATTAATCAGTCGAATTGCGTGTACGTAATTACTTCTCTTATTTGTCGATCGCAATATATAGGCCAGACCAGTCGATGCCCGGATATCCGCTGGAAAGAGTCTTGTCCGTTTGCCATAGGAAAGCTAAGTCCACACATTTCTATAGATGGTGGCAATCTTTTGGGTGGGAATCGTATGTGCTCATTCCTGTTGAGATTTGTGATGCGAGTGACCTCCTTTCCCTTGAATCACTGTTCATCCAGCGATGGAGTCCTTACTTGAATACTTCCGAAAGATCTGGGAATGGTAGGAAGAACAGGCGTAAGGGCAGACGTGAACGTGGAAAGGGGAAGACTAAGGTAAGTGAGCCACGAGGTTTTACTCCTATTCGTTTTCGCTTCAGGAGCGACGATCCATGGTCCATTCGCCTCTTTGACCTACTCAGCCAACAGATTGAGAAGGGGATTCGTTGTTTTGACCTTCTAATCGACGGAGGTAGCACCTGGCACGATAAGTGGCGCACAATTAAGAAAGCATTTGGTCTTTCTTCAGTTACCGTTGGCAAGGTTTCTGGGCAGCTGAAGGATTTTTGTTTGTTGTTTGAAAATGGTTGTCTCGTTCATTTTTCTTACCTTCGTAGATGGACACCAAGGTCTAATGCTCATAAGCCTTTTCTGATTTCCATCTTGCGGAATCCAAGACGCGCAGAGTTAATGAAGAAGTGAGACCTGGAATCGCTCTCCGGGCTTTTCACTTCTACTAAATCCTTTGAGCGCAAATCTACTCGGTCTTATCTGCGAAGGGTGATTTGTCGTTTTGTCCGAGACGGGTTCGGTTTTAATTTTTCTTCTAGAATTGTTGTTCGTTTGCTTTTTGATGACCGTGTGAGGATGGCTGAGGTTCGCAAGTTGGTTAACGATAAGCTCGAAGGGATGGTTCTTCCACCCTGCATCAAGCGAAGGCCACGACGAAGGATTCGCATCACTTGGACAAAAAATCCTTGTGTGGCTGATCTATTGCACAACCAGAGGCGCTATGCGCGCTCTGTTGTGTCCCCCTGCAGTTGCGCAGGCTTACCGTACCCCCGTGTATGAGGTCACGTGCGTTTTCGCTTGAGCGAGTTGGAGGGTGTCCCTGCTTTGCTGCCTTTTCGCAGTGGAATAACAACAAAGGCCAAACTGTCGAATGCTCCATTTCGGAGTTAGGATGTTGCATGCAGCCAATTTCATCCGGGAGTCGTTCTTGCTTGGATGTGAATGTTGTTACTGAATGGTGCACTAAGTTCGAGGGCCTGGTTAGAACCCCGTTAGACCGTAACCCGGGTGAGACCTTGGTAATGTGCCCGAGATTGTATTTTGACGGCATGATGACATTGTTTTTGCAAAACCCAGGCTACTCTCCTTCAGACTCCTTGTATGAAAAACACTGATGTGGTTCTGAAAGAGATGCGTGATGAATTGCAGGAGGAAGGTCTGTTGGGTTTCTCCCGTTGGGACAAGAAAGGAATGATTGGGCAAGCATACGCAATGCCCAAGCATAAGGACTTAGATCGCTTTCGACCGATCTGTCCTTCCTTTTCTGAACCGACCGTACGTACCGGAAGGGTGGTCGCCTGTGCATTAAACCACCTGCTCTACAGTATTCAGGTTAATTGGCACTTCAATTTGAAAGTCGTCTCCTCATTGGCAGATACCTTGTTGTCTTGCAATAAGCAAATTGGAAAATTGAACGTCGATGAGGTCAGTTCACGTTCGTATGACATCAAGGACATGTTTTCCTTGTTGCCTCACCAGGATATTCTGGATGCCGTTGATTGGGTTTTGAACTATCATGAGGCGAAGGGAAGAGATTTTGTTCGTGTTAATACCCGGGGCAGATGTGCTACCTTTGGTCTCTGCACGGGTGGGGATCACTGGAGGATGCTGTATCTGAGTGACATTCGACTCTTTGTCCGCTTTGAGCTCGCTCACACGTATACTCTGGCGCTAACTGTCCTCTTGAACCAGGAGGTGGGTATACCCATGGGAAAGAGTACTAGCCCTCCCCTGGCCTGTATCTTGTGTGCGTTATCTGAATTCAGATTTTTGTCAAGTCTCGGACCAGCAAGAAAGAATGCCTTTGGTTTCCGGCTGATCGATGACGTGGGCTTGGTGGTGGCTGGGTTCCCATCTGGAAGAGTGACTCGGGAAGAAATCTTTGATAACTTTTTAGGCCTGCTATCCCGAGAACCTCACCTTGAAACATACTGATAACGGGTCGGGAGTTTGGGAATTCCTGAGTTGCGAGATTAGCGTGAGCAACGACCCTCCCTTCCTCCAATCAGTTCAGCTATCGAAGAACAAAGACACGATTTGGCAGATCGAAAAGCTGACTATACAGAATGGGCAATCTTTCTTTTCTTGGTGCAGTAAAAGCCAGAAAAGTGCTGTTGTGGCCAGCTACCTGCACAGGATTGATCAGAATACCACGGATCGATCAAGGATCCCCGCGCAGGTGAGCTGCGTATGAAAGATGTTCCTGAATGGTTTTTTCTCAGGGTGTATAAAAGGTTTGCGCACGGGCGCGGTGAGCTGTGGGATTGGATTTCCCGTTTCTTAAGGATGTCTGCTATGTAGCTAGGGTGTTTTCGGTAGTTGATTCCTGAGTTTTTTTTTTGGAACCGGGCTGACGTTTTGCTAGTTAGCCAGGGTGTTTTTTGAGGAGTTGTTTTTTGAGGAGTCGTTTTGGCTTGGACATCTGTTTCTATCGTTAGGCCTTCTGAAGTTTTGGAAGGGTTGGTATTTCGCGGCTATAAGGCCGGTCGCTACTTAGAGGGTTTTTCGATAGTCAATCCGTAGTCCTTTTGGCTTGGGCCTCGTTTTTTAGTTTTTTGGATCATCGAGTTGTAGAGTGGTCGGACTAAGTCCTTGGCTCCGCCTATGCCTGGGTCTGCGTTTCCAAGGCCGATTATACGACAATATTGGCTGGGGCCGAAATGGGTCCGACTGGCGACCTGATTCAGCTGCCTGATGTTTTTGTCCTTCAAGCCCACTAATGTTCTAGTGAATTTTGTAGTGYTTTTACTGAATAGGTCTGTGTTTGCTAGAAGTAGATGTATAAATAGCATGATTGTGTTGTGTTTATCCTCTTTGACCGTGTCTTGAACCGGTCCGGTATGTGGAGTGACGGAGGATCATTGGGCGTGTTGGAAATGTTGGTGGTGGATTTTCAATTCAATCATTGCGTYKACTATCTCCGACTGCGTGAAGTTTGTCTTCTTTGCATCGTGTGATTTGTCTTTAACTTGTATTCATACCTTCTGGATACACAACACGTGTGTGACTGCACGGGCACCCAAAGGGCTTCGCCACACCACTGTCGAAAACACGATTTTCTTTAATTTCTCTTGGCCACACAGCATGTTGAAATTGGAGACTGTGATTGGTTGAAGTTAAAGCAGGACCTAGTACCAGGACACTCAGTACTTTAGCCGCGGGTAGAAGGTAGCTTGGAATTCTGTGATTGGTTGAAGTTAGAGCAGGACCTAGTTCCAGGACACTCGGTACTTTAGCCGCGGGTAGGCTGGCGGTTGGTGGATGATGATGGAAGGAAACCCAGGGAATAGGGATGGATTGTCAGAATAATAAGGAGCTGGTCTCCAATCAGGGTCGACTTTAGACCCAAGCAGCAGAGAGAGGGTAACAAAAGAAGAGTAGAGAGCTCGAGGAGAGAAATAAGGATAGTCGAACTCTGAAGACTAATAACTTACAGGAACCAAGAAAGATTGAAGGAAGCTAGGTAAGGACCAAAGCTTCAAGTACTTCCGGGTTGTTTGTGAGGATTCCCGGGGTAAGGACCGAAGCTTCAAGTACTTCCGGGTTGTTTGTGAGGATTCCCGGCCTCAATGTTCTTCGCATTGCTAATGGAAATTCTCAACCTCTTCCCAAAAAAAAAAAATAATAATAAAAAAAATTGGAGACTGGAAGAAAATTCGCAAGTTGTTAGAGTCTATAGTTTCTCTTGGCCACACAGCATGTTGAAATTGGAGACAGGAAGAAAATTTCCAATTTGTTAGAGAATGCTTCTCAACACCTTCTTTCGAAAGTTGTTGAATCTATATTTGTTTAATCCCCAGCCTGCTACTCCTATGCTTCCAACAGTCCTCGGCTGCGTCCTCGAAATTTGTTGAGTGGCTCCAGTCTATGCAGGCGATTCCGACAGCATACTGGTTAGCAACGAAGGGCATGAATATGGCAACGACGTGCGCCAGGTGCGACTGGGGCTGGGAGTCAAATGCTCATCTTTGGATGCATTGTCCTCTTGCGGACAAAATTCTGAGGTGGCGGGGACAATTGTGGGAAGCCTGGTGCGGAGGACTGTTCCCTTGGACAGACGACTGGCTGCTGTTTGCTACCCTGCCCTCGGAGAATATGAAATACAAGACGGGCTGGGGTTATGTTGCCCTGGTTTGCAGAGGGGTGGTCCTTCAGACCATCTGGCGAGCCAGAAATTCAAAGGTATTTAGAGGAGATACAACGTCATTACAACAGCAGCAGAATCAAATTTGCAGAGAGCTCCGTTGGATGATAATGGCGGACTGGAAAGTTTGCTCAGGCAGACAGGGGAAAGGGCGACCCTGGTTTCTGCGTACATGGGCTCAAAATACACAGAAGATAAGGGTCGATCAGTCTGGGAAATTGGTCTCGGCACGAGAATTTCTGCAATAACATGTGTCCATCAATCAATCAGATTGGTTGGCATTTTACTACATTAAGGGTAGACCTGGGAGGACTTGGGTTGTCTCTTATGATCTGTGCAGGTTTACACCTCCTTTTTTCAGTGCTTAACGTTTAAGTTTTGGAAAGTATTTTCGTTTAGGAAGGGGACGCTGGACCCGGTTTCCAGCAGTATTGGGTCCTTCTTTGTTAGCTATCAAGGAACAAATAGTATCTTGTGAGCGTGGTAGGCAAGGGACGCTGGACCCGGTTTCCAGCTGGTTCTGTTCCATCTCCGGGTTGAATTGTGAGGTCCCCGGCCTCCTTCCTACTATTTGAAATAAAATGATACTCTTTCCAAGAAAAAAAAAAAAAAAAAAGAAATTTGTTGAGTGGGCGTGAGGTTGGGATGGACTAATGCTTGCCGTATAGACTTCTCCTCAAAATTTGGTGAGTCGGTGTGAGGTCGGGATGGACTAATGCTTGCCGTATAGACTTCTCCTTAAAATTTGGTGAGTCAGCGTGAGGTCGTCATGGACCAATGCTTGCTGTACCCTCACGGGGGTTCGTCTTTTTCCATCTTGCATTCACAAGTGCGTCCATTCTACAAAGGAGGCAAACTGTAGAAGGGGGGCTGTCCAATTTCAGGCTGTCAACTTTTTTTTGAGTCTTCGACAGTGGTGTGGCTACTGTTGCCCAAAGGCACAAATACATGGTACCAAACGCCTCAGATATCTGACTTTAGGTCCCCGTGTGAGTATGCCCTCTGTTCCTGAGTCGAACCCCGGGCAGATGACATCTGGCGCTCCGCTCCGTGGAAACGGCGCTCGCCTGATGATTCAATATGTACAAACGCTACTGAAACAACAAAGTCCGCGAGGGGCATAAAATTTGAGATCCATAAGCAATAAATACCTGAGGTTGGTTTGCCAGTCAGTTCGTTCTGTAGTCTCAGTGGCCATAGTACCCGTGGTGGACGCATCTGGCGTTGTTATGCACAGTGCATGGTCGCATCACAAGTACCGTTTCACTTGAAAACGGCTTGCCTGCTACGGTTGAGAACTGGAGGAGGACAACGAGGAGTCGAGGACCATCGGTGAATCGCAGCCGAGCATCACAAAGCAACCGAGGAAAAGGAGGGCGAGGCGGGACGAAGGAGAGGAAAGAGCACCAAGAAGGCAACTGCCACAGCGATGGCGGCGTCCGCGAAAACGATGGCGGCCTTCATCTTGGCGGCTATCATCGTACTTCTGGGTGTTACGGCAAGAGCAGAGTCTCCGCCCGAGTCCGCCATCGACTTGTTCACCTACATGGGCTCCGGATGTCCAGCCAATTCCGCCGTGGGGGAGATCAGCAAGGACGGGCAAGTACTTACCATGGAGTTCAGCGAGTTCAGCGCAGAGACCGACGCAGGCAACGCGGGCAAACGGAAGAACTGCCAGATCAGCCTCAAGATGAGGTATCCTGCTGGATGGACCTACTCCCTGGAGACGGTCTCGCTCCGCGGGTACACGAGACTTGACGACAAGGCAAAGGCGGTCCACAGGGTCAGTTATTACTTCACGGGAGAGGGAGGGCAAGGCAGGTTCACCAAAGAGACGGAGGGCGCGTACGATGACAACTACGAGCACTCAGGTCCGTTCTCTCCAGTTATCTCGAGCTTGTGCGGCCAAAACCGAAACCTCAATGTCAATATGGAGGTGAGAGTCGACAACGGAGCTAACCCAGCCGGGCAAGGACTCATCGACTTATACTTGGCAGACACCACCGTCACTTTCAGCGTCAAATGGGCCACGTGTCCCTGAATGAGGCACGCTGACGGGATCCGTAGCAAGGAGTCTGACCGGATCCCTTTCGTAGCAATGATTTCTGGTCTGCTGCTCGGAGGGCCGGAATGCATCTGAGTAAAATTAGGGCCCGATGTGGATGAATCTGAATGTAATCACGTCCGGAGCTTTGTAGAAATAGTCGTAGTGTGAATATGCTCCGAGCTCCCTACTAATAGCTCCGTCCAGGGCTGCTGTTTGGCCACTGCAGCAGTGCAACTAGTAGGCAATGCACGAGTGTTCGTTATTAGAGCGATCGGATGGCAATTCACTTTCGAATCGGTGTCTGGTTGCCATTGCTTATTCGCGTAGTCGGAGAAGCTCTTTCGTTGTAGCTTTGCTCTACTACTTACTAGCGGCTGTCTGACAGCCCCATGGAGAGTTGCTTCTGTGAAGGAGAGCTATGATGGATGGGTGTTGAGATGAGATCCCGTTACATCCATACCCTTCCTTAGTTGCAAGATAGAATCTTCTAGAAGAAAGGTTGATCAGTTACACGTGAAGAAAGAGGGAACAGATGTATTCAAGGGACGCTGGACCCGATTTCCAGCAGGTGTGGTTCCCCATCAATACATGGAGCTTGTTTTAAAAAAAGAAGAAAAAAAAAAAGAAGATTAGTTACACGTCACACGTGAAGTTCGCATAGCTTTATGGCCTCCGCCGCGGTGAGTCGGTGACTAAGGAGTTTTTAACTCGGCAGAGAGAGCTTCTGACCGTGACCGTGCTGGTTTACTCTCAATGTTTTCCCAGCTCCATCTACTCTTCTCCCTCCTCCTCGTCCTCAATGTCTCCCCTTCTCCTAATCCACGTCCTCCTCGTCCTTCTTATAATCCTCTTACCTCTCCCTCCTGCTTCTTGTTTTTTATAGCGTGAAACTGGACGTGTTTCCGGACACCTCTCCGCAAGCACGCCCAGATTCATCAAATTCTCTCTCTCTCTCTCTCTCTCTCTCTCTCTCTCTCTCTCTCTCTCTCTCTCTCTCTCTCTCTCTCTCTCTCTCTCTCTTCCC